GGGAAAGGGGGTCCAGGTTCCTCACCGCGGAGGGCGGCTGCAGGCCCCTGCCAGTGGAGGGCCATGCCCCTGTGAAGGAGCTCCAGGATCCCGAGGGCGCGCGCCTTTCGGGCCGAGAGAGCTTCTGCGCTTGGCCAGGTGGTTGAAGGGTTGGCAGCGCTTCCCACCTGAGGCTGGATGGCGGCTGAGCTGCTCGCAGCCTTAGATGGGATGGCGCCAGCTCTTCGACCCTCTCGGAATTTCGCAGGCAGCGGGGTCGAACGATATGACTAATCTACTTGGGGTAGCACAGCCCGTTCGAGCCCAGATTACAGAGACTTCCCATGTAGAACACGCGTTTGCAGCCAGAACAATGGTCACACCAACGCGGCGAGCACTGCAATCCCCCCCCCCCCCTCAAAAAAAGAGACGCGCATCATAAGAAAGCGTCGCAACTCCGTCCGCTACCAAATGCGTGGGGCATGTGCCATGATGTATTCCTGTTGCTGCTCGTGCTGCTGCTTCTCCTTATCGTTATTCGTCCGCCTCTCCAACCTTCCTTCGCCCTGCGGACGTCAAGAGGCCCCCAAGGGGGCCGCAACGTGTCAAGGAACACCAGCACAAAATCTGCACTTGAACGAGGCCCCTGGCTCATCCTGGCGCGGGGCACGGAGGGTGTAAGAGCGGCCGTGCTCTGACGTTTGCCGACCGCAGTCGTTGTGGCTCAAGTGATCTAAGACACCAACACCAGAAACCAAGAGGGCCCGAATACCTCGATAGATCATGGGCGGGAAGCGGTCAGCATCCGAAGGCAGCTCCTCTGTGCCAACGGGGAAGACGAAACGGATAGCACGCAAGTCTGCCGAGCTGCCCTCCCTGCGAGAGCAGCAGGAGTACGACGGGAGCCAGTGCTGCATCTGCCACGCACACGTCGACCAGGACTGAAAAGGAAGGAAAGACGAATGGAGGATAACTGGAGGAAGAGTGACGGGGGAGGGAGGAGGAGGGGGGAGAAAGACATCTCCTCGCCATCCGCCGTCTTGGAAGACGGATTGCGAGGATAAATGGAGAAGTAGGAGAGGGTGAACCGACGCCCTGTTGGCATTGTTTCTCTTGGGGCCCTGTATCCCTTGGGGTCCGTGCCGTCCTCTTGATCATCGGTTGCTCTTGTACGTGCTACTCCCCCTTGCCCACATCAATCCGCAGGCAGACAGGGGCTTCGTTGTCTTGTCCGACGACGGCCTGGAGATACCCATGTGCTGCGACGATGCGGGCGTGCACTGCGACTGCTCCAGCTACATCCCAGCGGCGTCACTCCCTGCCGCGCCGAGGAACGACGAAGACGGCACCCAGGAGAAGTGGAACTTTGCCAAGCGCAATCGGGCAACAACCATCCGCTGAGAGGGGCCCCATCACTGTGGCGACCGTGATCAAGAACGATGCTCAGGACATCCGCGCCCATCGGAAGTGGCTCGCAATGAATGAAGCTGAATATTCCAACGCGTTCGGGAAGAGGCCTTCGGTGAGGGATACTTCGAAGCTGCCAAAGCTCAACGTGCCGTGCGAGGCGGGCCCGAGAGTGAAGGAGACGGCGTTCCTCTTCGCCTGGGTGCCGAACAGCCCTCTTCGCACGGCGGGGGCAAGCGGCACCGTGGGCTCCGCGATTGAGACGGTCATGCTGGACCCTGCATGCTGCTACTACAAGGGGCAGGGGAAGGACTTCTACAAGTGGGCGGTGGACACAGACAAAAGGCTCGCGGGCGACGAGCTTGGACACGTGATGAACTCGAAGTGCTCCACCATTCTCGAGATGGGCGCGCAGCTGGGCGCCCCAGAGCTGAGCGATTATTATGCAGCCTACCGCGGTAGTCACACTGCCGCCGCGTCTAGCGGCAGCGGTGGCTTTTTGCCCAGCCCGACGACGCTGGCGGCCACCAGCCCTCTTGGAAGCACTCCTCCACTCCAGGGCTCCTTCTCAGAGGAGGGGTCGACGTTGGGCGACAAGTCGCGCGCGGTTCTGCCGCGTGGAGCTCGGATCAGAGGAAAGAGCAGTGTCGTCGGGGGGCGGTCTGCCGCTGACCTCGAAAAGCGCGTGGAGGAGAAGTCAGTGGTCGGAGATGACCTGGGGGAGTCCGCGAGCCAGGTTGGCGGCGACGCCGATCAAGGTGACCAGGCAGACGTGTGCATCGAGAAGCTGAACCTCGAGGCTGCTCTGAGAAAGGGGAAGGATGGGGTTGTGTTCCATCATGCAGGCCTTCGCGTCAAGAATTGGAGCGCCAAGCCCGATGTGAAGGAGATGGCGGAGAAGCTTCATACGCATATGAAGGACTACGTGCTTGCAGCATCACTCAAGCCGAATCCAATAGAACGCCTTCCACCCGACCAGCTGCAGAAAGCATGCGACAGGGTGAAATCACTCATGACGATCCCGACCGCCGTCCAACTAGACATCTGGGATTATGATGCGACGTCCAAGTGCACGAAGGTCACATTCCCAGTGGACGTGCCGAAGTTCTCGGCGCACTGCTGGCCATGGCCGATTCGTTGCAAGATCGACAGCGACATGATCGATCCCAGGACCGCTGAGTTCGACCCGCTCGAGCCACGCCTCATGCTCGTCGGCGGGGAGTTTCCCGTCAAGCTTGAGCAGTTCAGGCAGGGTGCACTTCATCAGGAGCGTTCTGGGTGAGTTCATGGGCAAGGGCAGCAACGGCAAGGACTTCGTGCGCGCCGCGTGCAAGCGCATGCACGACCGGGCTGAGTCGACAATGGAGCAATGCGACGACCTGGGTGACACGTCTGCCTTCCTTTGCGAGATCACGACGGTTGCCAACGCAACGAGCGCCCTCCTCGACACGGAGAAGCTCCTCGACGGCGACGCCGGCGAGAATGCGATGAACGACCTCAAGGAGATCAGCGACACAGAGCACAAGTCCAGCGCGATCAAATCGGTGGCCCTCGTGGTCGCAAACGTAGACTTCTACCGTGACATTCTCGCCACCGCCATGACCAACGCTGCGAAGATCAACGATGCTCGGCCCAAGTACGTGGACATCAGCACCGACATTGACGCGAAGATGCAGCTTAGCCCCAACGAGCTTGCATCCAGTGCCGAGGAGATCCTCCAGATGCCCCCAGCGGTCATCTTCGCTGTCCCAGGTCAGTGCGCCAAACGGCTGTGCGACAAGACCATGAGCATCATCTGCCAAGTTGTCGGTATAGCCAAGGCCGAGGGTGAGAGCGAACGCGGGCAGGAACTAGTTCAGGGGGCGCTGTCAGTATTGAAACTTGGTGTCTCGCGCTTCCCTATGGAAACGTGCATCCCGAAGTGGAAGACAGAGCTCGTCGAGCTGATGGCCAAGATGCAGTCCGCGACCACTGCAAAGGCAATTTCCGAGGGGTTCGGTAGCATCGAGAACGGCAGCGACGCCATCGCCAAGCTCGAGAAGATCGAGATGCTCGCAGGCGTCATTTCATTGACTGGGCTGCCTGATGAGATGCAAAATAAAATGCTGAGCTCATTGAGGTTCATGTGTGACGGTGCCTTAGCGTCCTACCCAGCCCCAGAGGTCGATCGCATCGGGCGCGTGATCGACGATGTGGCGCAGAGCCTGGGCATGGACAACGAAACCGATGAACAGAAGATAGCCCGCGCCATGGTGGCTGGGCGCTCCGCCCATCAGCTGGCGCAGACCATCAACGCGATGCTCAACGCTGAAGGGCAAGAGCGGCAAGAGGTCGACACTACTTCAACGGCCGCGCTGCAATTCCTGACCGAGCAGCTCACGAACCACTCCAAGGAGATCGAGACCGCGAAGAATACAGAATCCTTCCTGGCCGCCTTGACGGCGACCCGACACCAGGCCATCGAGTGCTTGCGAAGCGCGGGTGGTGCCAAGCTGGAGGAGGCGAAGAGTGCAGCCGCGGAGGTCATCGAGAGTCTTCGCCCCTTGCAGGGCGGCCTCGAAGGCGCTGGGCATTGGACGGAAGGCCTGGCGGACAACAAACGCAACAAGTGGGCGGACTTCTACGACTACGCGCAGAAGACGATCATGCAGGACAGAGGGACTGCTGGCCTCAAGAAGGGGATCGACGGCGCCACCACGGCGCCCCTGGGCTTACTCAACGCAAATCCCCGCCCCAGCTTGCAGGGAAGGAGCAGGCAGCAGGAGCAAAATGAGGAGGGGGACTGGGGGGGGGGGGAGAGCGAGGAGGGGGGAGAAGGAGGAGGAGGACGACTACGAAACGAGGACTGAGGGAGGAAGAGCTCTCCTGCTGCTGCTGCTCCTCCTCCTCCACCTTCTCCTCCTCCTCCTCCTCCCTCTCCTCCTCCTTCTCTTCCTTTGCCCCCCCCCACCCCTCCCCCCCCCCCGCCCGTCGACGAAACTGCATGCAAATCGGGGGCGCCGCCATGAATGACCCGAAAGGCCACGGGGCGGAAGGGGAGAGCGGGGGGGGGGAGGGGGGCGGGGGAGGAGGTGCGAGGAGGAGGAGGAGGACAACGATCATGAGGAGCAGTAGGAAGAGGAGCATAGGGGGGGCGATGATAAGGAGGCGGTCAGAGCAAGGAGAGGGGGGGAATGGGAGAGGGAACAAGGGGGGGTGAAGGAGTTGAGGGGAGGGGGTGGGGGAAGGAGTGAAACGCGGAGGAGGTAAAGCGGGGATGGAGATGGGACCCCCCCCCCCCCTCGAGGAGGTCCGACGCTCAGGGCGCCGCGCAGGCCACCCCGAAGCCCTCTCCCCCCCCCCCCCCCCCCCCCCAACGCATCATCCAACATAGCTCTCGCAATTCCGCCAACCCGCTTAAGATGCCTGCTGGGGTATGAGTAGTCGTAGGGCAGTCTCGGGGGCCCTCTGAGGCCGCCTGAGGCTCTCTTAAGGCTATCGTTGGATATCGTTGGGCAATTTCGGGTCGTCTTGAAAGCTGCGCTGGGATCTTTTAGGGTCCTTATAGGTTCATCGATGGCTCTCTTGGGTACAATTCGGCACCCGCGGGGGGCTGCGGGTTGTTCTTGAAAATCCTTGGCTCGCATGAAGAGGACGCTGAACCGCTTGTAGGTGGTCATGGGCCTCCTGGTGGGGCGGGCGGGAAATGGGGCAGGTGCCGTTTCGTGTTGGGCGGGGAGTGGCGGTGGAGGTGCATGGGCCCCCCCAAACAATCATGGCCACTGTTCGCCCACCTGATAACCACTGGGGGCCCTCCGATGACTTGCCCCGCGCTGCTCCGCCTTCTCAATGATGCCCCCCTCTCCGCGAGGCGCTTGCTCGCATCGCGGAGATTGGAAAGGCTTTCTGCCTCGACTGCGGCGACGAGTTCAAAGATGACATCAAGCAGGTCATCGTAAAGTGCACGGAGGTTTTTTTACACTGGCCATTGTTGCATGCGTTCAAGAAGCCCAAGGAGAAAGTTTCTTTGCGGGCTGCGATTGCTAAGCACAAGGATGCTCTCAAACAGATCGAGGGGGTCTCGCTAGGAAACCTTCCCAAAGTTTTGACTGACAGGTGCGAGCAGGCTCTGAAGTTCCAGATTTCAGTTTGAGCTTCGACTCGCAGCCTCGCCGAGAGCCCCCGCTGACCTCAAGCGCGAGCCTTCTCCCCAGCCTCCCGCCCGCTGCACGCGCAGCGCACGAACTTGTAGGGGTAAACCTCGCTCTGGTTTGGGCACTTGGAGGGGCCTGGAACTCGGTTTCGCTATGTGGGACCGGGTGCAGAGTCATGCATTCTGAAAGCAAAGCGTGTCCGACCATGTGCGCGCGAAGACGGGCATGTACCGATATGCGACAACGCACGCATGCTCATCTCTCACTTCACGCGCGCAGCGTGTCCCCTGTCTCCCAGGCGGCGCCCCCGACTCGATGTGTATATGCTGCGCGGCGCGCGGGCGTGCTCGCGGCAGCCAGGAGTCGCAGAGATCCAGGGCGCAAGCACCAGGAACCAGCAATCGACAAAAGAGAAGCGTTGACATGTCGCATGCTTGCCCGCGTTGTCTCTCTATGTCCACCACGCCTTATCTCTTGCACCGGCTGCGTTTATTCAGAGAGTGGGGCCTCAGTAAATCAGACGTCGTTGATTCACATTTCAGTTTTCTTTGGGGGGGCAGTGGTTTTCACACTCATTGAGTGCTTTTGAAGCGTCGGGGGGGGAAATCAGACCACTCCCCTGAGCACTCACCCTGGGCACTCCCCAAGCCACTCTTCTGGGCGATCCCGCAGAAATCGTCAGTTCCACAGACTGTAGAGGGACACTGACACCATGGGGCGAGACACAAAAGGCGGCCGAGTAGGCAACGGAGACGATGAGATGACCAGCCGTTGCCTGACTGGCTCCCCTTTCCCGCTCTTGGGCTGCGGTTGCCGCGGCGGCCCCCCTCCCCCCCCGCCCCCCCCCCGCCCGGGGGCGCAAAATTAATTGCGCCACGCGATGCCCCATGGGTTCGGGCCAAGAGCATGTCGCACGCAGATTCGAGGATGCTTTTGGGTAGCTCCTACTCATTCCCAACAGGAGTCGCTGCTAGCGTCGCCACGAACGTTGTCCTCTTGCCCTGTACTCCTCTTCCCTCCTGTACCCCGTCCTCTCCAAGGTGGAAGATTGGGGCCTGGGTGCTTTTTGACCGCCTCGCCTTCGAGCTTGAAGCTCCACCCTTGCGGCCCCCCAAAAAGTGCGGCCCCCGGTGCTGCGGGGCACGCCGCTCCCTCCTGCCGAATCGATCTCGCGCTCTCTGCTTCCGTCGGCGGCTTGGGCCGCCGGGGAGGGCGGCCGGGGGCGGGGCTGGCAGTTACGGCCCCCCGCCGACGCACCGCGTGGGCGGGCAGCCCAGCCTAAACGTGCCGGGTGGCTGGCCGTGGAATGCCATGTGGGGCATGCTGTAAAACAGGAAGCATACCGTAGACGGATCTACCAAGTCTCCGACCCAGTACCGCGCCGAACGCACCGGCCGCGTTCTCTATAGATCCATCCGCCCCGAATGTCTGTAACATAGATATGTGCGCTAACGGCATCCGGCGCTTCTATAGACGCTTGTGACTAGAAAGTGGAAGCGGGATTTGGCATTTGTGTCCTGTCAACCTGACTGAGCCTGCCGAGCTAAAAACCTCAACCTGTCGGGTGGAAAACAACATGTGCCAAGGCGCTTTCGTTTTGCTTCGTCCGCCTGCCGCCACGGTGATGTTGGCATATCTTTTAGTTTGTCTGCCATGATCTTCCCATGTTCAGAAGCAGGCCTGAGGCGGGATATTCATGAGGCGGGGTGGTGGTGTGGCCTGACGAGATGCTGATTTGTATGTGTGGAATGCTTGCGTTATTTTGTTGTGTCGTGCTGGCGTTTGTTTTCAACGCCTGTCTGCGCACTGCCTGTCGTTACTGAAACGTCGTTGCTGCGCTTGGTTCTTTTCGGGCTGGCGGGGCGGCGCCACGCATGTCAAGCATAATTCGCCTTGTACTAGTCACGCCACTCTGTTTTCACTTGCTGATCCATGTTTCCTTTGATTTTATGAGCATGCCTGCCGATTTTGACAGGGTCGGCCCAAGACCGAAAGTTATTGCACACAGGATGCGCGGGCTACGTGGTGCAAGCGACGCTTTGCAAACTACGCGGTGCATGCATGTGGTGATACCTACGGTGGTGGCATTGGATAAGGAACCCGTAGATAATGAACCCAGGGTCTGGAGGCCGGTGGATCTCCAATCGAAGCTTCGTCATGGATGTCGCCGCCCTCGTCAGATCAGGATTATTCCCAAGTCTGCAGCCTCCTGGGCGCAGTCGTGAACCAACAACCCCACCGTACGTGGTGCAAACCACGTGGTGTAAAGTATGCGGTGCCCGTTATGTGGTGTGCGCTATGCGGTACATTATGCGCGTTACAAGGCGGTGTGAAATACATGTGGAGCAAGCTGCGCGGTGCAATTCCAATGTTCTCTGTATCCCTTACTAAATCGCCCGTGGGAGTCGGGTTACTAGAACGCTTATGATCGCCACTTTGGCGATCGCCATTCGCCCGTCGCCATCGCCCGCATACAGCCCGTCGCCATCGCCGTGCATACTTTGCGCCATTCTTCGCTTGTGGCAGGCAAACGCAACAACTTGTTCATAGTTTGCCTGCTGCTGCGGCACTAAGCGAATCAACGCACAAGCATGGTTACACACTGATTGCAACAACAGATGGGGTCGCAACCGTAATCGCTGCCCCTGTAATCACTAGTCCGAAAAAGTTACGGTGCCCCGCGGGGTGCCCAATGTGCGCTCCAAACGGCGCCCCAAATTTCGTGGTTTTTGTTCACAGCGGTGTTTCGCGTTTGCTTTTCTTGTTTGCCCGATGCCCTCGTGGTCCCTTCCCGCGTTTGCTTGGCACCTTCCTGGCCCTGTATTTCTTGCAAAATTGTCCCAAAGCCCTCTCTCAGGCCCCTTTTGGGCTCCGTCTGTGCGACGCGGTGACATCACGACGCGCCACAACGCTGCATCGACGCGGGACTTTTGCAGTCCAGCGCTCGGATTCATGGGCAGGTGCCGGAATGGACCCCTGCGTGCTCAAAACGGAGCCTGGGACGCAGGCCTGACTTGGCCGGCCGCGTACCCCAAAAACGTGCCACAGAAATAATCAGGGCGTGTCCAAGAAGGAAAACTCTGTGCCCAAACGGTGCCCCAAAATGATATCAGCCAGCGTTGGCTCCACATAGAAAGTGGGTGATGATGGTGACGATGACGATGACGATGACGATGATGATGATGATGATGATGATGATGATGATGATGACGATGGGGACGATCCTGTTTTCCACACAAGCACACTCCAGTCCACCGTACTGTACCGCACTGGACCGTGCGGCGCAGCAGCTGCGTCAGGGGAGCAGCGCGCCGACCACGCCTCCCTCGCTGGCGTCTCCGCGCCGCGCTCTGTTGGGGCGTCTACTGACACGTGTTACCAGGGGGCTGGGTCACCCGTCGCCGGCATGTCGGCACCGGTTCGAACCAGTGGGCTATCGCTGCTGCGCCATAGTAGTCTTGGAATTCTTGCAGCGTGTACAAACGTCCGTCCGCTGCCGGCCTTCGCTCCATGGCGCCAGGCGCCCGTCTGCTCCCAGGTGGCCGCCGCCGCCGCGTGGCCTTGCGGCGGCAAGGCTGCGGATGCAAGGATGACGATGGTGATGCTGATGGTGCTGGCAATGATGCAAAGAGGTGGAGGAGCGCTCAGAAGTGGTGCATAGGCATAAGCATAGAAGCTCCATTCGTGAGGTTGTGGTTCTCAATCTTGCGGTTGTGGTTCGCGCTGGCCTGCGCTGTGGCCGCTTGCGCATTCCATCTGCCCTTTGCTGCGGGCTCTGGCTTTGGCAGTTTGCTTTCTTATATTATCGCATGTCCTCACCATGGCCTCCTGGTCCTCCATCATCCTTCCTCCTGCCTTCCCCCTCTTTTCATCCTCGTCCACCCCCGCGTCATCCCTCCTGGAAGAGCCTCGAGGGAGGAGGAGGGGGAGGAGGAGGAGGATGGAGGAGGGAGGAAGGAGGAAGGATGAGGGAGGGGACAGGAAGGGGGGAGGGAGGAGGGAGAAGGAAGGGAGGGAGATGAGGGAGATGGGGGAAGGGAGGAGGGAGGAGGGCAGGAGGCAGGAGGGAGGAGGGAGGAGGGAGGAAGGAAGAGAGGGACCTTGGAGGAGAGAGGAGGGAGGAGTGAGGAGGGCGGGGGCGAAATTCGCCGGCCCAACGGGCCAGGGGGTGCTAAGATCTCCGGTAACAGGTAAACAGTATTTCTAGTTCGCGCGCGCGGGGCGGCCCCTAGGAGTCCCCGGGCGAAAAGTACCCCGGCAGGTCCCCGGCAGGGTGGGGGCCAGAGATGCCGGACTGGGCAATTTTTCGACACCCCTCACGAGGATCGTGGCCTCCGAGGGGGGGGGGCGCAATCGACTACCCCCGCCCCTGCCCAAAGAGGCCCCCGAGAGCCCCCCAAGAGGCCCTGGGGCCCCCAAGACGCCGCCAAGGAGCCCCAAGAGACTCCCAAGAGGTCCCCAAGAGGCCCCCAAGAGGCCCTAAAGAGGGCTCCAGGGCCGGCGGAATGAGCGAAGCGATTAAATAATCGTGTG